ATCTTTTCATTGTATTCCAGAAATAGAGTAGCTTTGTGTGCTTTGTGAACATGCTGTGGAACTGTAGAATAGTATAGTCTTTAATAAAGTGCTGATGAAGGAACATCCTGAAGGAAGTTCTCCATTTGTGTTGTCATCAGTTATAATGACTCCCTCTAACCCATAGGTCCTTGGGGTCTCTTTCTTTATGCTTTTAGTCAGCCCACTTCTTGTTTTTCATAGTGCTGACTCCAAATATTAGCACTTTCCCAAGCCCCTATCACAGCAGGAGGTTGATGTCACAGTAATATCCCGAATGGATGCCCTTAACTGAGCTCATTATCTTCTTCCCTGCCCGACATTCTAGTCACTGTCCAACAGTCACTTGTTCAGACCAGAAACTAAGGGGTTCTTCTAGGTATTTCCATTCTGGGTACAAGTACTATTGATTCTCATTTTCCTTAAAGATTTGTCTCCTAAGACGAGTGGGAGGCAAGGGACCTCCAACAAATCTATTCCTCAGAACCCCAGAAATGCCATTAGGTTATACCCTCTTGTTCTCCATATTTAGTCTCATCTATTCCTATTTGCCCCACCCTATGCCTTAGTTTACCCAAACTACTAGCCTGCATTCTCTCCTTAATGCCATTCCAGTTCATCTTCTATTCTTCTGGCAGCATGAAATTAAAAATTTAAGAACTACTTAAAAATCATCCTCTAAATGCCCGTCGTTGCTGAGGTCCTCTGTATGACCTAGCTGAAAAGTTAGAGGAAGGATGTTCCAGCTGGGCTGTCAAACAGCACGTGTAGTGTAAATGCCTTCGGAGTGGAGCTCTCAGTATACTTTAAGGAAGCCGAAGGATGATCAGTGTTACTAGGGCTTTCTATCCCAAGGCAGGGTAGTTTGGAATGTGGGTGGTAATAGATCATGCTGAGCCACCCAAGCTATGCTAAGACTTTGGTTTTTATCCCATGAAAAACTTTGATATTAAACAGGAGAATGATATGGCATCCCTTTCTGTATGAAGAATGCAGTGGAACAAGAATAGAATCTGGGAAATAGTTTAGGAAAGAGGAAATGAGAGGGGATAACATCTCAGTAGGAGATGGTTTGGGAGATGGCTCAGAGTATGCAGATGTAAAATATCATTTATAGATGGAGTCATTTTGCCTTATAAATTAAGTGAATGTGATGATAAGACAGCAGGTGAATTTACAGGAAAGACACTGCCTCCTCGGCAGAGAATGGCAGAAGTTTGACAATGACAATCAAGAATTTAGTTTCACATGTCTTGGGATTTCAATGAGATACTCAGGCAGATATGCCAGTGAGGTGCTTTGAGAAATGAGCCTGGAGTCCAACATGGAGTCTGGGCTGAAGATGCACATTTAAGCTTCAAAGTATGAATGATACTTGAAGCCAGGGGGCCCAGCCAGGCCTATGGAAGGAGTATGAAATAAAAAATGAAGAATGCCCTGGACTGGATTCTCTGTAGCACTGGGAATAGTGAGTACTCCAGCAGAGGAAAGTGAGATTCAGAAAAAAAACAAGCTGTGGGTGTCCTGGAAGCCTAGAGAACAGTCCCTGAAGGAAGAGGGACTCACTCTGCCAAACATGCTTACAGTGATAAGAAAGATAAAGATCAAAAAGGGCTCTTTGATTTGGCAACATACAGATCATGAATGACTTCCCATGAACAACTTTTGGAGTTATAGGATGAAAGTCAGGCCAGGGTTATTTTAAGAGCTAACGTCAAAAAGCATGCCTAACAGATATGGGACAAGCCATGTATGGGGTTCTGTATGTAATCAGTGAGATCTCTCATCTTCCAGGATCTAGTCCTTTTTAGCAGCAGAGGCACTGTGTAGCATCTGTTCACTTATACATTATCATTTGGTCACCATATCTACACTGAGGACTTTCCAAGCCCAGTACTCCTTAATGGTAGGAGACTCTGAGTGCTTATTGCCAGGGGTTCTGGGGATATCTGTTTATTCACCCAATACAAATACAGTGAGTTCTTACTAAATGTTACAGGTCCTATTTCCCAGAAAAGCACCAGTGACCCAAAATAGAAAGTCTACCCTGGTGTTGGAGGAAGATATAGATGTATGGGTAACTATAAATATTTTCAGATAATGATAATAGTATTTCTGAGTAAAACAGGAGTTGATATATAGAGACCTAGAGTGGAAGTGAGGGGCTCCCTTAAGTAGAGTGGTCAGATCCAATGGGCTGAGACTGACCTATGTGCAGAGCTTTGCCTCTGAGGAAGAGCAGCTCTAGAGAGGGGAGAGCCATAGGCCCAGCAAGATCAAGGGCAACAGGGCTCAGGCAAGTCAGCTGTGGGCCTGCTTGAGCATCAGAGACCAGAGCACTGTGACTGCAGTGCTTGGAACAGGATAGGAAATGGTATAGGAGGAGTGAAGAGAGAAGGAGGGAGCAGACTGCCCATGAGCAATGTCATTGGTGAGCCTTTTAAAATCTGCACCATTGTAAAACTTTTTATCTCTAAATAATTTCATACTTATAAGAAAAGTTACATAGTAATTTTGCCTAGTTTAAAATTTTTAACCTACACATATCTTTCTACACAGTGTAAGTCTTCTCTAGGTTATTTATAATACGGTGCTTAAAGAATCAATGTGGTATAATGTTTAGGGAGTGATAAGAAAAATATGTGTACGTATTCATTTTTTAAAAAATATTTTATTTCTGTAGTTAATGTGTAGATTAAAAAGCTATAGTTATAGAAGCTAACTGTATTGACTCATAATCCCCCTCCTTGTGTTTTTGTCCAACCACTGTAGGAAAATTTTAAAGTACATTATTGTTAAATATGTAAATGTATTTCATAAGAACAGGATGTTCACATTCACTTATATAAATACCAAGATTGATCATATAATTATGCATAGGAAATATAACTTTTATCTAATGCTGTTACTTAAACTACAGTATATATTCGGATTTCTCTAGCTGAATAAAGGTCCTTGTAGCTCCTCTGCTCCCTACTTGCCAGCTCTGTGCTTCAGAATCACATATTTCAGTGAGTTAAATTTCTTTAGCCTCAGAAAGTATTGTCTTAAGTTTGTATTTCATTCTACAGTATATCCATATTTTCTTTGATTAGGCTTTTTAAAATACTATAAAAGCCAAGAACAAGAAATAAGTCAAACAATTTTCCTATGTTGCTGGCTAAAGGAACAGATGTTTTTGTCCTTAGTCTCCATTTTTAAACACTGTGTTGAGTGAAGAGGCTGACACAGCAAGTCAGGTTCAGGCCCCAGCCACAGCTCATCTCCCTCTCTCAGTGTCAGAACATTTTGAAAGCCCAGATGCATAGAAAGGTATGATTGTAAATACTTGCACTTTTTCTCCAATCCTTTGAGAGATTCCTAGGCAACCCCTGCAGAGATGCTGGGGACATTCTACATGGGGGCTCAGGAGAGTCTCAGGCCACAAGAGTTGGGGATGTTGCAGTGACCAAAGCCTAAAATGAGGTCTAAGGATAGAAACTAGTTCGTGAAAGGCACTTACCTTGTGTGTAGGAGACTCTGGGTTCTAGTCCCAGCATTGCCAAACACAAAACACCTGAATAGATGGTCTGTAGTGATCAACCAAATGTTCAACCAAGGACTTTCTCAATGCAGAGGTCAGACATATGGTTTTTGTTTGTTTGTTTGTTTGTTTGTTTGCCTCATTTTTCTAAACCACTAGAGTTGAGATTTTATCACTCCTGGATTAGTCTCAATAATGTCCGCACTGAGGATGTAACTCGGTGGTAGAACATTTGCCTAGCATGTGCAAGGCCCAGTTCCAGTTCCAGCCCCAGCACCGTGCAAAAAGAAAGGGAAAAAAGAAAAAGACTCAAGTGATTCACAGTCCTCTTTCAGCCAGTCTTTACGTACTGCTTGGCACAGGCCAGCCTGGTCTTCCTCCTTGGTGTGATCTGTTCCATTTCATCTTCACAGTAGCCCTTGTTGATATGCAGGGATTATCTCCACTTTACAAATGAGTATGGGAAGCTGAGGAATTAACCTGAAATAGCACCTTTCACGTGGTGATCTTTGAAGGCCCTGAGACATATATCCTGGGAACCTAAGTTCAAAACTACCTTCATAAGAACACAGAAATGTTCTGTTTTTTACTGTATGTGAGAGTTGTTTAGGGCACCTCCACGGGCCAGGCAGAGAGCACAGTTGTCTGAGAGAAGCCACCTTTTCCTCCTATGGAATACTGGTTTACTCTAAAGAATGGCTGAGAAACAATCTATGGAGCTTGGGTATTTGAGAAACGTTTTGTCAGAAATGCTTGAAGTAAAATTGTCACTCCAAGGGAAGTAACTGAGAGTATTTGTTCTTAATGATAATTTGAGCAAATAAATGATAAAGGTTATAGTTTTAGAAACTATGCCTGTGCCAGCAGGAGCTATTTTAACTTAAAGTAGCATACTTAAAGACTTTTCTGGCAAGTTCAGTAGTGATATTAACAAATGTGTGTTGGGTGTTGTGTAGTGAAATATGTTAACATATGGAAGAGCTGTGTAACTCAGTGAACCAAAAATTCCAAATGACCTATGAGTGATATTATAAAATTGTGCACAAAATATTCATTTGAAGTTTAAGATAGACTAATTAGTTTTAACGTAACAGTTTGAGAAGGCCATTGCTATAATTTCACAAGTTATATTAGAGCTATCCTTTACCATTTGATTCTCAAAACATCTTTTCTATGAGTGGTAAAAATATTCACCATGCAATTCATTGTTGATTGACAGTCAGCCTTGAAGGAACAGTCAGTGAACCCTTATCATTGCGACAGACAGGGTTTGAATCAGGTTATATAGTATAGATCTTCAGTCTGTTTACATGATGAATCGGAGAGGGCTTATTGTAGCGAGAACCAAGCATGGAGACAGTACTAATTGATAATAGTTAAACAGTGAGTTCTTACTATGTGCTAGGTGTCTTACCATCTACTGAATATTTTGAAAATCCCTACAAAGAAAAGTCAGCATGTACTAACTTCAGCAGCACATATACTAAACTTAGAAGAACACAGAAAGGATTTGCATGATCCCTGCACAGGAACAGCACACAAATGTGTAAGTTTTCATTAATATTAAATATTTTGAACACTGAAGCTCAAATTTTGTATAATTTTCAACTTGTGAACTAAAAAGAGGGTCTTCTTGGGGGCTGAAGAGATGGTTCAGTGGTTAAAGAGCACTGGCTGCTCTTATAGAGGACCCAGGTTCAATTCCCAGCACCCACATGGCAGTTAACAACTGTCAGTAACTCCAGTTCCAGGGGAGCCCAACACCCTCTTCTGACCTCTGCAGGCATTGCACAACACAGGTGCACTTGTGCACATGCAGGCAATACACGCATACACATAAAATTTTTTAAAATAAAATATATTTATAAAAGAAGATATTCTTGCGTTCTTGATTTTTACATGTGAATAAACAAGTAAAAGTCATTTTAACTCACTGTAAAGTAGTAGAGCTAGCATTCAAACTCCCAAACTCTGATTCCAAAGTCCACATTTTTAGTCAAATTTTATGGAATTCAAATCCATTTAAGGAGTAGTTTCTTTGTGTAATTGAACATTTTTTCAAATGCAATTTCTTATGATCTTTTGCTTGTGCCACAGTTTGAGAGAGAAAGTTTTAGTGGAGCTACAAAGGCCCTTCAGAGGTCTAGGTGTCCCAGTCATACCTAAGGACCCACCTTTCTCAGGGAACCTTGGCTAGCCTGCCTGGTGGCCTGCAGCCATCAGAAAAGGATCAGGTTGTCATCCATATCCTTGATGCATTCAGCTCCCCACCTCTGGCATGGTTGTCCAGGAAGCCACCAGGAGGGGTGATCTGTGCTGGAAGATCCAATCCAGGATCTTCTCAGACAGGACCTTATTTGTTCTAACTTGCTTCTACCCAGGAGAAGAAGACACATATGATCTTGCCTTTCCTTCTGCCAACTAGGGGAGGTGTCCTGTACCCACAGGGCTGCGTGATAAGAGTCACGGCAACTAACTCTGGTCTCATCCTTGGAGGAGTGATTCTGGTAGACCTGAGAACTCACAGCTGGTCAGTCAGCAAGATGACTATAGGCAGAACCTAGCAAAGAATGGGCCAGAAGCTAAAGAGGGCCATAGGTAGAATGGGTCTGTTCAGTCCAAACATGTTCAAGTTACAGACAGGACTGCAGGACCAGGCATATATTTAATTTCCTTTTCTACACACTCACTAATGGGGTCCTTGCACAGAGGCTGAGGAAGTGTACGTGCCATTTCTGCCAGCACATTGTGCCTTGTTCAGTGCAGCCTGTCCCTTGTCCAGCCCATTCTTTACTGAAAATCTGCATGTTCTACTTTTGCTGGGTTGCAGGAACAGCCTGAAATGAGTTCCCAGAGTAGCATATCCACCAGTAACATTTTTAAAATAACCTAACAGCACCATAAAATTATCACAGAAAAGTAACCCTCTGGGCTGAGGGTCTGTTGATGTACTTTGACTTTGAATGCTGTCTGGCACATCACTGCTTATGGTAGGGTGCTGCCCCAGGCGTATTCCAGTGCCCCTTTGAAAGATCACAGAGTGGTCACCTTCCTGGCACAAACTAAGCTAACTGGTCTTGGAGGTACTAGTATCTTAAGTTAGTGTCCAGGACAGTTGTCATAATTTCAAAAATAATGTTAGTATTTTAATTGGGGGCTTCTGTTTAATAGGGTACGTGGGTCCTAGTCGTTGTCTGTTGCCTCTTTCCACCACCAACTCCTAGTGCTCTGCCTGGCACACAGCACCATCAGTACTAAGGAAATGTTTATTGGGAGAACATCTTTTAATGAAAGGCCTTCCTGAGGTTTCAGAAGTAGTAAATCGTTATCAGTAGAAAGCCATTATTCATAAATTCTATAGAGCATTTTTCTGGGAAGATGGCTAATCCTATTCATTCCAAATCCTAGTGTGTGTTGATGGCTGTCTAGGGTCTACTCTGCTTGGTGTCTATCATTTAGTGACACCTCTGAGTTGGGTGGGCCCAGTGGTAGATGCCACTTTTAAGTCTAGAATGCAGAACTTATTTGAAAATGGAAGTCTGCGAGATGGCTTAGCAGGTTAAGGTGACTGTCTGCAAGCCTGACATCCTGAGTTCCATCACCAGGAACCACATGGTAGAAGGAGAGAAATGACTCCTGCAAGTTGTCCTCGGCCTCCACACACACTCTGTGACACCCACAGCCCCACACATACACATGCATACAAAATAAACAAGAATGCAATAATTTTTTAATGGTTCTAGAGGATCCTGGCATAGCTCCCTTTTTGTCTTGCATGAGACAGCTTCATACCAGAGCACAACTTGCTCCTCTATAAGAGTAAATTTATATATCCTCTTTGATTCTTTGACATTAGTCAGGGAGGCATACATAATACTGATTTAAAGGCTCAGGAGCTTCTCTCCATGCCTCATTGTCTTGCTGCTTCCAGGAAGAGAGAGAGAGAGAGAGAGAGAGAGAGAGAGAGAGAGAGAGAATGAATATGAATACTCTTGTCCAGAGCTTTCTAATCAAGATAGAGGGTCCCTCCCCCATGTCACTTCCTCCCACTTCTGGACACATCTTCCCTCAGGGCAGCACCTGTCAGGCTCCCCTCTTGCAAGCCCTGCTGTCTCCCCTTCTGGCCTGACGTAGACTGTGAGTAGGCTGCAGATAATGTGGAATGATTTTTCAGATGTGGGCCTCTCTGTGAACTAGGAAGGCATGATTAACAGACAATTACCTGGGTCTGGATTAAAAGGGGGGAAAAACAAATTTTAATTATTGCTCTATTGGTTATTAGCCCTGGGAACAGTGGCTTCTGAAGTTGTTTATTTCTAAATCAGGAAGAAGGTAGCAAAGAGTTAGAAATTAGAATATAGGATTTTATTTTCTTAAGGGAAGAAACCCAGCACACTTTCTAAAGCCGTGAAAGCATTCTCGTGATCTGGTAGATCCCATCTGTGCATTTTTCGGTGACATACTTGAAGTACATGAGCTGTAGTCAAAGGACCTTAAAAGAGAAAAAAAAAAGAAAGAGAACCATGGGTGTTAATGAGAGGGCCCAGCTTGACAGCTGTGGGATAAAGCTAAGCTAAGCTCTCTTTCCTTGTACCCACCTGTCCTGGGGGCATGATTAGCATGCTCACACTTCCTGAAGGAAATCTGGCATTCTGAAGTGTCACCCAGAATCCAGAAGGCACCATTGGGTACATCACTGGGAGGTAACCCCAACTCTGACTCCAGGATCATCCTTTGAAACCACAGTGGAACTGGTGGACAAGATGGTGATCTTACCCTCCATGCTGCTGGGGTGGGAGGAAATGGAGAAAAAGCAAGCTGGTATCAGAGAACATTCTGACCATTTGCAATTCTCACGTGTCCCAGGAACTTATCAAATGACCTTCTCAAGGCTTTTAGGGAGATCGGATTGTCCACCATCTTGGAATTACAGGCCCTGGGGAAATGGGTTGATGGGCTTCCTGACTCCTGGACATTTCTTTCAGTCCTGTGATACTGTTAAGTTATTCTTTGTTACCAAGTTTACTTCTTCATTTTCCATACTGTTTAATGTTTGGATTGAGTCCCATGATCCAGATCCTGCTACTCAGTTTCACCCTCCAGGCTTTGTCAGAGGCTGGTGATAGAAGATACAGGTGATGCAGATGCAGTCCACTGAGGATGGTGACGGTGGTAGCAGTTCCTTACTGCACCATTGTCCGTGGTCAGCCATGTGAGTTCTCCATTTGCAGCAGAGGCATCTCACCCAGACTTCCTCTTAGGCATCACCTGTGCTTCTTTTCTGAGGATGATGTCTTTAAGCCTGGCTTGATTCCTGGAGACTGTATGATGTCCTCTTGAATAAGTGTCATTTCTGTTTACATTTGCCAGTGTTGGTTTCATTTAGTTTCTACTGAATACTATGTTGAGTTATGTAATGCTTTTCTTAAAAGAAATGGAAGAGATGGTACATGCCTCTAATCCCAGCATTTGGAAATCTGCTGAATCTCTGTAAGTTCAAGGCCAGACTGATCTACGTCGTGAGTTTCAGGCCAGCTAGATCTACATAGTGAGTTTCAGGCCAGCCTGATCTACATAGTGAGTTTCAGGCCAGCCTGATCTACATAGTGAGTTTCAGGCCAGCCTGATCTACATAGTGAGTTTCAGGGCAGCAAGATCTATATAGTGAGACCCTGTCTTTAAAACAAAAAAGTATTTCTCATGTGTTCTGGCTCTGAGTGGACATTTTTTCAATGACTATGGATTCTCTTTCCTTGGACACTTAAATAGTGCATGATGTATCGGTTACTTTTCTCATTGATGTGCCAGAACATCTAACAGAAGCAACATAAGGGAAGAACTTTAATTTAGCTTGTAGTCTATCTTGATGGGAAGGCATGGTGAGGAGAGCATGAAGTGGCTGGTCACACTATATCCACAGTCAAGAAGCAGAGAGAATGATTTACAGTACTTTCTGATTTTGTTTTTTAATTCAATCTGGGACTGTCATGGGATGTGCCACTCATATTCAGGATGGACAGGATGGATCTTTCCCTCCTTTGTTAAATCTCTCTTGGAAATATCCTCACAGGTATTCCCAGAGGTGTGTCTCCCAGGTGATTTTAACTTCAGTTATGCTGACAATAAGTATTAACAATCACAAGTCTACTCCTTGTTAACTGAACACCCACACATTTTGCTTTTAAGCCATAATGAATGGCATCCAAAATATACTGCTATACCCATATACTCTATGTTTGGTCTGAAAATAGGCATGTTCTTTTCTTTGTTCTAAATAATCAAATAAATTTTTCATCAGCTTTGTTTTATTGTTGGCTCCACCCATACCACCATGGAACTGCTAAACTACAACCCCTGTGTTCTTGGAGTTGCATCAGTGGATCTAAATATAAGACCCATTGATAGATACTCTGTTTCATTTTGTTGGATTGGCTCATCAGTTTGAAGAAATCTTTCTGAATTGTTTCATCAAACATATGAGCTATTTGTAGCTATAAGTAGTAGTTTCAGAGCCAGAATTTTCTATGCTCATGTAAATAACCCTGGATTCCTCTTCTTTCAGAGGG